GCACATAGTAACATGACATGTCAAAATAATTGTCCATGTCATCGCTTTGCTAAATTTTGCTCTCCACATCATCAAAAGAAATATAAAAAATGCCATATAAGCGAACTTAACGACTCAAATTAACAGAAAGACTAACGGAGTGCATTTCTTATAGTTAAGGGATCAAAAAAGTGTAAAAAATTGTTGAAAGACTAAAAATGTGCAACTCACTAAAGTTGGGAGACCAAACTTAGCATTTAACCATAGCTTAAAATTGTTTTAGCAAAACTGGGGGAAATTCCCTTGAGAATTGTTTAACGTCCTTGAAAATATTGCTAAGACTGTTGAACATATCTGTTCATAATTTTAAGAACCAAAATAATATGTCAATGTACATTTTATAAAACAGAAGATTCGAAGAAGCGCTGTGTGGCAAGAGAGATTCTTGTCCATACTGCAATGTAAAAATTAAAAGTCTCCTCACAAGGACTCAGCAAACTGCGGAGCATCCAAGTCTAGTTCTTGTCCCATGACACAGTTCATCAACCAGTCGCTGCTGAAAGTTAGTATTCCTCTCTTTGCAGCTGATAATGCTTCCTCCATGTCGTCTTCGGATGCAATGAAGATTGTGTTCCATGCTTCATTCACTTTGTCCAGTCCATGAATAATCTGAAATTAAGTATGAGTAGCAGCCGTCAGAGGAAGCTAATAAGGAAAAGACAAATTTACAACATAAATCAAATATATCACTTAATATGGTGTTGAATGATGAATTACGGTAGACTGTACTGCTAGACACTCGTTATGGATTAGCAAGCTAAGACATGATGAGACATTAGTTTGCCTTGATATCATTAAGAAGCTGAAAAAGCATACCTCAATAAATATATAAATCACTCAAAAAGTTAAAAGAACAGCCTTTTGGACTGACAACCAAGAAACATGATTGGTGCTGATGGATAGTAGATTTTTTTTTTGGACACTGGAGGAAATTGGGAGAAGGGGGTAATTGCCTGAGTTAGAACCCAGGACTTAGATATCGAAGCACTGTCCCTAACGAGAATGGCCGGTAGGCCACTTGGTGCCGGACTGATGGATAGTAGATTTAGTTTGCCGGACACCCCTATGCTGCATTTGGCAGTTTGCATTTGTCTAAATATATATATATATATATATGCATATAAAATTTGCTGGCGGCGGATGGGAGGAGTGGAAGTTGAATAGTTGGCGCTGAAAAGCACAATAAAATTTTAAA